TAAAGCTAGAATTTAATTTTCCCTTTGGTTATATTGTGCAAGGGATTACACTCGTTTTATAGAGCCCAAATCTATACTCATGGACCAAGTCTTTCCTTTATGCTTACTCCTACAAGTTAGGCTCAACTCTTACAATTGCTGCCACCACTGACACTGCTTCCAGCAAATTCTCAAATACTGAAGCTGCTCTGTTTGCTACTTACTCCCATGGCACAATCAAACATTAGCTATAGATTTACCACAGTATGTAACACAAGTCCTTCTCTATTTTGTCACAACGTGCACAATGTCATGCCAGAAGGACGCTGGGTCTTTCTAATGGATTGTCGTGTAGTTTTGCCCGGAGTCACTATTTCTTCCCTCCTGAGTTAAACGATATGGCAGGACATGTTGACTGAAATCTGTCCGTGGGGTAGATGCCAGCCGAGAGACCAGCATCATTGTAATGACTATAAATCTACCTAATTCTAGTTTGCGGGTTAGAGTGAAGCTTTGTATTGGTTTTGTCAAGTTTATGTGATAATATCTCATAGTATGTTGTATCTTTTTTGTCAGTCCCTGGGTAGTCCCAGGTAGCACAATTTCATGTACATACAAAATATTTATCCTGCTAAAAATTGCCAACAAGATGATCTGGAAAACAAAATTCTATACAAATAGTGGATTAGGAGCACTTTTTCAAATTAGTCTATATTGAGTTTCAAGAAAACATCTAAATGACTTTAAACAATGAAAGCATGTAGAAGAAATCTGTGGTATCTGTGTAAACAATACCATATATTTCTGAATTACATAAGTGAAGCCACTTTGGGGAGTGCTGAGTGATGCCTGTACGCAGTGACAGTTTGGGAACAGATCGGGAACAGCAGCGTGTCTATGGAGCACATGGCTTTAGATTTCTTCAGAAGAATATGGCTCTTCTGTTTCTGCCTCAGGGGAATTTAAGCAGTGTGTGTGTGTGTGTGTGCTGAAACTCCACTATGTGGTCTTGTCTGATGTGATGTTCCACTTGAAAATGAGCCAAGTTTTGAGGTCATAGAAAGTCATGGGATATGTTTTTTTTTCAATGGCGCAAACCAAAATAGCAGCCATTCCTGGGGCACACAAGTTTGTCTCAGACGAAGGAAATCAACACTGATGAAACCACCATCAATAGTTTTTGTTGCCATTTGGCCCCATCTCAAACAGCCTGCAATCCCCAAAGGATGCAGCGCATCAGGAGTAATTAGGAAAGTCTTGTGGAGAGTGATTAGGCCTGCTATGATCACACTTTTTAAATTGCAACACATACCTCATGGCCATAAAGACTGAATAATAATATTGAAAGTACATTAAGTTTATTCCAAAAACACTATTCTCTAATTGTACACACACACAACAGGCTTTGATTTAAGGGCATTCCCCAAATACTCTCTCAAGGAACAGTTGGATATTCAAAACATTTTGAGGAGAATTCCAATTTTACATCTTAATATATCATTTGGCTGTAATTGCCCACAGTACTGCATAATTTGTGAATAATATATATTATGATAAGGTGTTATAAGTCTGTATTTTGGAATCAAGCAGGTGACATGGCACCAACAGAAAATTACACATTGTTGCTTTAAAGCATTTAGCTTACATCTTACTAGACTTTTGCCCCATGGAAATATTTTGAAAGACAACATGACCTGAGTATAACTATATGATTAAAAGGAGAAATGTGTTCATATTGTGTTCTGACCCGTGACCAGTGGCACCGTGAAGCAGATCTAGACTGATGATCCTTTTGGCCGAACACTCTTCCACCAGCACTACCTCCAAGGCTATACTCTTTAAGCATGAACTGTTACAAAAAAAGCAAAGTACTGAATTATTGATTGCATGAAAATGCCACATAAAACCCTGACCACACAATGGGGCAGAGGGACAAGACTAGAATTGCATTTGTGCTGTTTGGCTTGGACCTCACAGAAATGGCATTTAATTAAATAGATGCAGAGTCGGATCCATTCTGTTTGTGCATCGCCCACAAAGAATGAAACCAAGTTATGCACAGACTTCCCTTTGAGGTTGGAATGTAATTGGATATGTTTTGTGTTGTATTTAATACTGTAATCAAACAGGAAACTCCAGTTATGACATTGTACAGAGCTGCAGTCGCTGTCAGTGTGAGCCAGGGGTCAAATATTTGATCAAAGATAATAATAATAAAAGTGCCCATTTATAGCAATTAATATTATTAGTATTGGAGTGGTACTAGTTGGCTTTTGTCCTCAATTTCTCTTCTTTCAAAACCACATTCTTTATTCATAAAACCATTCATTAGACAGGCATTGGATTAATCATTGCAGGGGATCACTACCTACTGTACATTGATTACATCCCCAGTGGAAATAGCGTGTCATCCCGTATTGAAAGAGCAGATGTCAAACTTTTAGCATTTCCCGTGTGTAATGGATGTTATGCAAAGATCTAGAAAATCCTGGAGGTGCTGTTGTATTGATTTTATCGGAGGGATTTTGCTGCATCGGCTTGTAACGTCATCTGTAGTTAATTATTGAGAAATGGATGTTGGCGTGCGAGTGTGACCGACTGAGGAGCGTTTGAGGCTGATTGGTGCACAGACCGTCAGACCAGCTATTGATCCGAGCACATTAAAAGTCAGTGATAGACACAAGTTCATCTGGAAGAACAGAAGACACTTAGAAACAAAACAAAATTCACAGCAGCATAATGCAACAAACATTAATATCTTTTAATGAAAACTTGTTTGGTAGATATTTGTATTAGGGTGAGGTCTGCAACCGGTGTGTCCTTTTGACATAAATTCTACATTTTTTAAAACAGGAAGACGCATCACCAGTGAGATTTGCTGGAGGAAAATTGTTGGACCAAGAGCGAGGTGCCCCAGTTGTTCATCCTGTGCACATGTGTGATGATAATTTGAGTGACACCATACAGCACTCAAAACTTGTAGCCATCTCTTGTATAGACGTGATGTCACCTCAACTCAAACAGGCTGATCCAGAGAGAAGCCTGTTCCTCTGCCTGTGAGCCCACCTCCATCCTATCTCCAAAGCAAACTCTTCAGCTTAGGGGGTACATATATATTTCAGACCTGAGAATCATCTTTTTCCAACAATGGCAATCCGACACATCGAGCCCTATGTCCGTCACATCGAGCCCTACGTCCTTGATCCACAAGCAGAACTGTACTTAAAGAACAAGGTTTCGCGTTAGCGTCTTTTATCGTGGGAATAAATACGAATAAACACGAGTTTCCTGATCAGCTCTTGAGTAAGTCTGTAGTTCTGGAACTGTCTTAGTGAAGTGTCGTGTCGCAGATGAACAGATTCATTGCTGATTTTGGAGGAAGATCCGCATGAAAAAAGAGCAAGCCACATTCTTCCTCTTCGGGCCAAATAGTGCGTCACACATTTTCTCCTAGTTGACATGATCCTAACCCTTTTAGTCACTGACAAAAGCAGAAAAACAACATAAATCCATGTGGTGGACGCAGACGGTACCATAGACATATGCTGGACTCGGGCTGTGCACGGTGATTGGCTGTTTTTATTTGTCAATCACTTTTTAATTTTAGATTTATTATTATTATTATTATTTTTCTTTCTTTTATTATTATTATTATCATTATTATGGACAACCTACAGGATATTTATTGTTTATTGTTTTCCCTGTTTTAAAAAACCATAAAAAAACGGGCTTCTGAGTCATATTTGTCATCAATGTTGAAATCATCATAGATGTGGACTAGCGCAAAACTACTTCAAATTATGACTTATAACATTTTGGATTAATTAATAAGAACAGAATAAATGTATATCATGCCATGGAACAACATTTTAAAGGTATATAGGAGGATTATCTTCTTCCGGGTGGATCATCAAGACTTTTGGTCCTCCCAATTGTCAATCATTATGGTGATACGTGCTCGTCAAATAAGACCAGAAAGTGAAGAAGGTGGTTCTTTTGGGAACTTTTAAGTTACAAGCCTTTATTGGGTCTTGACCTCATTTAAATGAGCAACAAAACAGTTTGAGTTTAACAGCTGGCAAAGGAGCCACATAGAAACGTGAATTGGGCCAAAATGGCCCCCGAGCCGCATTTTGCCCAGGTCTGCTTTAAAGCCTTTCGCGACCAGCTCAACCTTTTCAACAACACTGATTTATTATTTTTGTTTGTGACGTAAAAAAAAAGTATAGCAATGTCCTTTCCTTATATCTGCATAAAAGGCTGTTTATCTACAAGCAGGAAGTATTGGGTTGTGCTGTGTCTACACACTGTTTAAAGTATTCCAGCTGAAGGTTCTACAAAGAAAAGCTTATTAACCTACTTTACATAGTATGCATTTGAGTGTTTATTCCTTTCATGGCAGCAAAACATGACACAACCTCGATAAAATATGCAAATGGTTCAGTTAGATCAGAGCATACTCGAGAACCCCCATTGTACACAGAGTGTAAATAGTTTTAATTACAGGACACATGGTACATGTTCATTTTCCAAACGCTACTCAAATATGCAATGTAAATGTGTCATTCACTTTGCATTGATTAGTATGATTTAAGTAATTTGTTCTGTCAACTACACGGTTGTCAGAATGGGTACATTAACAGATCAGTGTTGCCACCCTACAAATGTTACGCTCAATTTTGATTCAAGAAAAATTACCTGGTACTTGATTCCAGGGCCGCAATGTTTAACCCTTGTGTTGTCTTCATTTTGTTTGTTTGTTAATTTATTGTCTGCATATTCTGTAGAGACTCCATGTCCTACCAGGTCAAAACGACCTGTCTACACTAAACTCTAAATATTAAGAATATTATTTGAATTTTAAACACACCAAATCAATTTTACATAAATAACAGGAAAGAGTTTTGTGTTTCTTCTTTCTTTCATGCAATCTTTACGTGTCGATGTATACGTTTCATGAATGTGTCTCTTCCTCTCCCACACATATTAACCATCTCCTCTCTGTTTTCACAGGTGTCACCATGGGCCGCCGTGATCGCTCCTCCGTCCTGTCCCCCGCTCTCCAGCTCATGGTCATCGTTCTGATTGTGATTCTTCAGGTCCAAACCTCATGGGCTGGAGCTCCTCCTCAGCCCAGCTCGGACGGCTCAGTCTCAGCTGTTTCCACTAATAAAAGTGAATGCAGCAAACCGGAGAAGTGTACCGTTGGAGTCATCCTGCCCGTCTGGGAGCCCATAAATCCCTCATTCGGCGACAAGGTTGCTAGGGCGACTGTTTACTTTGTGGCTCTTGCCTACATGTTTCTCGGGGTGTCCATTGTTGCAGATCGCTTTATGGCTTCAATAGAGGTCATTACATCCCAAGAGAGAGAAATCACAATTAAGAAACCCAATGGGGAAACTACGACCACCACTGTACGAATCTGGAACGAAACTGTGTCTAATTTAACTCTCATGGCTCTCGGCTCTTCAGCTCCTGAGATTCTACTGTCCGTCATTGAGATTATAGGTCACGACTTTAATCCTGGCACCCTGGGACCTTCAACCATTGTAGGCTCTGCTGCATTCAACATGTTTGTCATCATTGGAATTTGTGTGTACGTGGTGCCTGACGGCGAGACCAGGAAAGTCAAGCATCTCAGAGTGTTCTTCGTCACTGCGAGCTGGAGCATCTTTGCCTACATTTGGCTGTACATGATCCTGTCGGTAATCTCACCTGGAGTGGTCCAGGTGTGGGAGGGCCTTCTGACCTTCTTCTTCTTCCCCATCTGCGTGCTCTTCGCGTGGGTAGCCGACCGCCGCCTGCTCATCTACAAGTATGTGTACAAGCGCTACAGGACTGGCAAGCAGCGCGGCATGATCATTGAGACTGAAGGGGATCGGCCTGTGCCTTCCAAGGTATTAACAATGTCTATTCATAGAGGTGTTGTTTTTATGGACTACTCACTTAACCCTTCCTATAGAGCACCTACAAAAACAAGGGAAGAAGTCGGCATGTGACCACTTAGATCAACAATTCTTTAGAAATGTTTGCTGGCCAAATAATATTTATCAAGGCGCATAAATATAATGTAGTTAACCTCTTTACTAACACCGGCGCGCCGGCGGCTGTTTTTATGTTTTTAAATGTTCTGCTGGCAATAGCAGATGTATTTTGAACACCAAACCCCAAAAGCTGTATATCATTTTAAAGCTTATTTTCTTATCTACATTTATATACATCAGACTTTGCATTCAAAAAGATATAACACATAATGTGGGCACAAAATAAATCAATTCGGGCGTTCTGCTCTCCCAAAATTCCATCCGATGGGCGGGGGAGCGACTGAATTTTGCGTTGCATTATGGGTAACACTTGCCTTCGCAACTTCCGGTTCTCTCTGCCCGGCGCATTTTCTCTAAATGGTTGAGTGTTTTCGTCATTTTCTGTATGCAAATACATTCCCGTCTCTAACTAGTGGCATATCGCGCAAATCATCCGTCCAATTCACATTCTTCCCTCTTAGCTGAACTTCATTCTCATTGTTACCATCTGTCACTCGCACACACAGTCGTTTTCATTCACTCTGCTCGCTGTCATCTTCTTCTAAATCTTCATAAACACCATCCGCTCGTTGAACTAGCAACAAAAATTCCTCCTTTCGTTTTCCCACACTGCAAATACCCTTTCGCTTCAACCTTTCACGCAATTCAGGCACTGTCAATCGTTTGTTGTTTTCGTGAGCCATATTCGCCATTGTATGAAATCAACCGGAAGTGAACTGGGCAACAAACGGTGTCATTTTTTGATCACAGCGCCGCTCAGTGGATGAAATTTTGGGAGAGCAGAACGCCCGAATTCCGAAATAGTTTTTTACCTTTGGGCTTGTGCTGTACAAATAAATCAGCTCTCCTCCCAGCTTGCAATACATCATTCTCTCTGGAACAGTCCAAAGGAAAATTATATCCACTTGTATTTCCCAAAGTAAAATCCATTCTGCAGAAATAATCCAAAAATGTGCATTTATCTTTAGCGAAAAAAACGAAAAAAAAAGAGCACAGATGTTACTCTTTCACTTTTAACAGACTTTTAGCTTTGTTTTTCACCCAAACAGCTGGTATCCACGTGTTCCTTAGCTCCTTATCTTTCAAATGAGACTACTCCCGAAAAGCTAGACCAATTTTTGGGTCTGCAAGAGGTCCCGTAAGTACAGCTTGCGCTGCTGTTTGCGCATTGAACACTCAATCAATCAATCAATCAAAGTTTATTTGTAGAGCGCCTTTCATACACATGGCAACACAAAGCGCTTCACAGTCCACATCACAAATCATCACATAAAACAAACACCAGAATCACAATTAAAACATTAAAATCACACAAAAGATTAAAACACAATTAAAACATTAAAATCACACAAAAGAATAAAACCATTAAAACTTTCAAAATTACACAAGAAATTTAAATAAATAAATAAATGACAGCAGTGCATTAAAAATGGAGATAAAATCCTTCAGTTGTATGCACAGGCAAACAGAACAGTCTTTAACCTGGATTTGAACATTGACAGAGTAGACGCCTCCCTCACATTTTCAGGGAGATTGTTCCAGATCTTAGCTGCATGGATCTGAAACGCAGCCTCCCCATGTTTGGTTCTCACTCTGGGCACCAGCAGGAGGCCAGTCCCTGTGCTCCTCAGAGTCCGGGCTGGTTCATATGACACCAACATGTCACTAATGTATTCTGGTGCAAGGCCATGGAGAGACTTGTACACAAGCAGAGCCGTTTTAAAATCTATTCTTTGAGCCACAGGAAGCCAGTGCAGAGACCTGAGGACCGGACTAATATGGTCATACTTCCTGGTTCCTGTCAGGACTCTAGCTGCTGCATTTTGGATGTACTGCAGCTGCTTACAGGTCTGTTTGGACAGACCTGTAAGCAGGCCATTGCAGTAGTCTAGCCTGCTGGAGACAAATGCATGGACAAGAATCTCCAAGTCTGCCCTGGACACTATATTTCTAACTTTGGCAATGTTCTTCAGATGGTAAAAAGCTGTTGATGTTATTGATTTTATGTGGCTATTGAAATTTAGGTCTGAGTCCAGTATTACCCCCAAATTTCTGACCTTGTCTGAAGGAAGTAGAGAGAGAGACTGAAGTTGACAAATGACGCCCTCTCTTTGTTTCTGGGGACCAAAGACAATGATTTTGGTTTTGTCTGTATTTAGCTGGAGGAAATTATTTTGCATCCAGTCACTGATCTGTTGGATACACTGATCTTTTGTGGGGTCCCAACTTGTTTGCTTTTACTTCCGGGATTTACGATTGACATGTCCTTGTAGCCAATGAGGAACGCTTTCGAACAAGGGGTGGGACAATGGTGTCCTGTCTTATGTTGGGCCTGGACAATTGTGCGTAATGGAAGCCAAAAGACGCTCTCGAAGCTGCAATGAATTTACACTCATAAAAAAATAACTTTGACATTTAAAAAAGAAAAACACACATAGATTAGTAACTTATAAGTACCAATAATAAAAAATATCGTTTTTATGATGATTAAATGTAAGTAAAGATATTTGGCACAATTTGGCACACTTGTGCCAAATTGTGCCAAATGTGCACTACTTGATGAAAAGGATAAACTGCATAAAAACTATAAAACTTAGAAGTCTGAAACTTTAGACAGTTGTTGTCAACAACACAATGAACAGAGGGTTTGAATATTGTGAACTTACAATGAAGTATGCCTTTTTTAGGGCCTTTAGAAATTGAAAATGTTAGGCGAGGCTAAAAAAATTGGGTTTTTTTCCCTAACTTCAAAGGATGCAGAGGAAAATAGGGATGACAAACATTATTTTAGTGTTTTTTTACATAAACTAGAAGGCTCTAGCTTTAAAAAATGATGAGGCGGATGTTAAGAGGTTAATTATTGGTTTAGATTGTTTACAATGAACGAATCCTAAGATAACGCTTTCATGTGCAGAAGAATATATATATATATCATCCTAAATAGGCTACACTGTAAAATATTCGAAACGCATTTTACGGAACTCACTTTGCGCAAATAACCAAGATGGAAGCCACTTCAAGCACTAGTCGAGGATTACTAATATGATTTTTACGAGGAAATTTCTTGTGAGAAATAGACAAGTGTTTCTATTCACTGTTGATGATGAAAAATGTCTAGCTTTTCTACAGCCACTTCTGGTTTTCTCTAGTTCTTCAGCGGGACAATCGTGTGACGCAAACACAGCTCATCTGGCTAATCAGGCACTATGCTACATGCTATGGCTAACACATGCTAAATACTATTCTGTCGTCACAGGTGGACATTGAGATGGATGGTAAAATGCTGAACTCACATGCTATCGATTTCCTGGACGGTCCTCTGGGGTTTGACATAGACGAGAAAGATCTGGACGAGGAGGAGACCAGGAGGGACATGGCAAAGATCTTGAAAGAACTCAAACAGAAACACCCAGACAAAGAGGTTAGTATATTAATGATGTCTCTGTAGAGGTTATCCCAAATACAAGTAACACATGCATTCAAACAGATGTCTCTTCAGGGAGTGATTATCAACCTTAGTATCAACAAATATACTATTCGACACCACAACCCAAACTTTATCTGGCCTAAAGGGCTAAACTTGTGCTATAAAATGAGAAAGAGTAAGGCCTAAGATAAAACTGAACAATGTTTTCCAATAAATAATAACAATAGAGTAACACCGCCCATATCAATAACCTATAATGAATACACATTAAGTTAACAGTCAAATAAGTGATTAATCTCCTCTGAGTGAGCCCTTTGCATAAAGAACAGAATGTCAGCTTTAATGAATGAATAGTCAATCTATAAAACATGTGTTTGTGATAAAAGTGTTTATTGTCAACTAATGATTTGAGAACTAATAAAATGTTTCATTATGATTGGCACATGTATTTTAATTTTAATACACTGCAGTGGTTGAAAGAGGCTCAATCAGGATCCTGGTTCAGTCGCTTGCAAATAATATTTGTTTAAAGGAAACATGACCCACCTCACAAATGTTTTATCTGGGGATTTTTTCTGTGGTGTGTTAAGAAGTTTCTATCCTTCTTTTAAAGTGGTGTAAGGCCTCAGGCGGTTGTAACTTGGGAGGAAATTTAACTGTAATACATGAGCCTAATAAACTTGTTTGGATTGTAAATTTTATGAGTTCCCTGCTCTCGTAATTTTGTGTTTGGACCATCAACTTGTGATTGAAGATGATTGTGTAATGATCGCTTCAGGCATTATAGCATGACTCATTCATATTGCTATGACTTGGCTGTATTAGACGGATACTCCGCTAGTTATGAATTATTTAGAGTGAAGATGATTTAAGACTGAACAATGTTATATTATAAATAATAATAACTATAGCAAAAGCCCATGATTATTAACACACACCCATTTCCTCCTGTTTAGGTTGAACAGCTCATTGAACTCGCCAACTACCAGGTCCTGAGCCAGCAGCAGAAGAGCCGTGCTTTCTACCGTTGTCAGGCGACCAGACTGATGACAGGCGCGGGAAATATTCTCAAAAAACACGCCGCAGATCAAGCCCGCAAAGCCGTGAGCATGCATGAAGTCCGATCTGATGCTGCCGAAAATGATCCAGTCTCCAAGATCTTCTTCGAACCAGGCTCCTATCAGTGCCTGGAAAACTGCGGCACGGTGGGGGTAAACGTTGTGAGGCGTGGCGGGGACCTGAGCAAAACTCTGTCCGTGGAGTACCGCACGGAGGACGGAACAGCCAACGCCGGCTCCGATTACGAATTCACCGAAGGCGTGATCGTGTTCAAGCCCGGCGAAACCATGAAAGAAGTGCGCGTGGGGATCATCGACGACGACATCTTTGAAGAAGACGAGAACTTCCTGATCCACCTGTCCAACGTCAAGGTACTGTCCGCAGAGGGGGAGGAGCCAGAGGAGAGTGAAGCGGCCAATCACATGGACTCGGTTGCCTGTCTGGGCTTGCCAACGACTGCCACGGTGACGATCTTCGATGACGACCATGCCGGCATCTTTACCTTCGAGGAGCCGGTGGTCCACGTGAGCGAGAGCGTGGGCACCATGGAGGTCAAGGTGCTGCGTACGTCCGGAGCACGTGGCGTGGTCAGCCTGCCGTACAAGACCGTCGAGGGAACGGCCAAAGGAGGAGGGGAAGACTTCGAAGACACTCACGGCGTCCTGGAGTTTCAGAACGACGAAATTTTGTGAGTACTGCCATTTTTTGTGTGGATTTTTGTAGATTAGATGTTAAAATGTTTGTGTGTGTGTGAGATGTGGTGCGCGATGTTGGTGGACTCGAAGATGAAAAAAGTCTCCTTAAGCTATTTTCTTTCTTTCTCTTCTCTTCAATTTCTCTGTCTTGCTGAAGTTTTGAAGTATGTTGTTGTGGAAAAAACAAAAAAGGATTTTTTAACTTGGATGAGAAATGTATCATCTTTTGGTATGTACAGTATATAAAGATTTTATCTTTATGACTGTTTATTAATCTGGCTATTTTCTGGTAACTACGTTTTCTTTATTATTGGCATATAGACAAAAACATTGCTGGATGAACTGATTTAATTTGGGAACATAAACAATGTTTGGCCTTTGAAATAAGTTTGTAGTGGAAGGCAATCGCCTTGGTTACAGGTCACTCAGGCAGCTTGGCATTGTCCTTTCTGTTGAAAAAGGTCTTGGAAATGGCACTTGGAGGATTCCCGCTGTGAAATTCCTCAGCAACAGTTCAAGCTGGTCTTAGTCAACTGAGCACCTATTATCCAATGGTGAGTCATGGCGAGGGCCGTGATTGCCTTTTGGACGCATATCAAAAGCACTTGTCTTGCGCTGGAGCGTTTGTCTCAAAGTGCAGAGAGTGTGGAAATTATGGAACTGATACGTTGGTGCTTATTTCCACTTTCAGACAAAGTGTGTTGGAAAAACGGGATTTTTGGCAAGAGTTGAAGAGTATTTTGATTGTGAGTGTAATTTGAGAATACTAATTTGCATGCATTTAGTGAATTTGTGAACTGCTGCATAATTGCTTTGACAACAAATACTGAGTGAAGTTGTTTTCTAATATAAACTGAACAGATATGAACAGGCGTAAACTGTTTAGAAGTACTTTGGGGCGGATGAGAGCCTATTTTAGTGCATTCAAGAATCTTAAGGAATCAGTGTAGTTATTGTAAAATTCCACTGAATTCAAATAACCATTTGATTATGCGGTGAGACATTTGGTTTAACACATTACAAGCAGTAGTTGTCCTTTTTTGGAGCCGACTCATTGGAGTGTGGATTTCAAAAGGTTTTAATTATTATGTGTGACCATTTGAAATGTCAATGATGAATATTTTATAAGTAATGCTAAATGCACCTCACTGGTCTTTTGATCAATTGGAGCCAGATGTGAGGGGCATTTTGTGTGTCATAGTCTCATTAACTACACCAATATGTTTTTTGATGTTGCACTTTTTTTTGGAAAAACTTGGTAACAAAGTGGGCCTAGAATTTTTCTTGTTCGAAAATACAATGTATTACAATATTCATATTTAAGGTTTTCAAGCAGATGGATTGCGTCATACTATATGCACCCTCTTTAATTATAATTAACTTATTGTAATACTATATAATGGCATGCTATAAATGTGGCATCAAAGAGACCCTGTGAAGGTCTGGTCCTCAGCTCAAGGCAAATTCTCAAACCTCATTGAAAGTTTATTTGCTGCAATAGAACTTACTACATCATGTTATCACATATATGAACGCATTTGTCATTTCATTTACCCTGGCTTTCTCTGTCTTAAGTGATAAAAAAAATTTTTTTATCCCAATGGATAGAAAACCAAGGATTTTTTTTTTACGTCGAGAAAAAAAATGAATTAGCCAATCTAAATGTGAGTGCCTCCAGGCTAGCGCTACCCTGATTATGTTACTGTGAAAGAGAAGGATGGAGCATGAGAGGCTGGGCTGCTGGTAGTGGTGCATAAATGATTGCAGAGGAGGCTACAGTGAATTGAAAATGCGAAGGGTAAAAGTTTTTGGTAAAAGTTGCAGGATCCAACCTGTCAGACTGGAAGCTGCTGTTCTCTTTGCCCGGACATGACCTTGCAGCATGTCCAGTGAATACAAGTGCCGGTCTCGCACTTGTTTGTGTTCCCAAGAGGACTGAAAAGTGTTCGTTTGTGAGCTAACGTGACAGGCCGCACTGTAGAGACAGGTACAAGCTTCGCATTATGTCTACAATGCGGCATGACCCAAAAAGGTGCACCCACATTTGAATGCACTGCAGCAAGACTGGGGGTGTTATTTATAACCCAGAGGCATATAAAGCAAATGTTAAGGTTGGTAACACTTCTGCTTTGATGCCAATGTCTCAATCAATAGTCAAAAATCATTTTTTTTTATAGGTGTCATTTGCAAACCACTTACTGTAATTGTGCTTGTTTATTTGTCTCCTTGTGTGACGTTGCCTTTGCCATATCATTCTAAAATAAAAAAAATTCAATGTTGCTGATTTGTTGTTTTAAAGGGATGATTTTGTATTTAGAGAGTTTTGTGGCATGCACAATTTTATTATTTCACTTTTTTTCAGCGGGTTCAAAACTGAGTAAATATCCCAGTATTTTGCATTTTTGCATATTGATTTGATTTTCTGACCCCTTGAAGAGTGGATACACACTCTTACACACATGCACGCACATGCAAACACTGCCAAAAGTGCAATTTCCATAGACAGTGGAAGAACATGGTACAGTCGTGAATCAAATTAGAGATCCTCCTACGCACACAAGCATGGAGCAGACTGCCACTTCACACTCCAATAACCAGCACAGATTGGCCTGTGGAAATGCAAGCTTAAACACTATAGGAGTACGGGATTAGGAGCAGGGAATATAACCGTTTACGTTCTGCAATATGCTTTGTGTAAATATTTCCTGACAATGGCGGCAGCAAGGAGTCAGGAATATATAGGGAGGATGTGCCGTCTTCTTACATGCGGACGATGTTTGGGTTTTACCTAAAAATATAGTGTATTATCATAGCTACAAAGGTCATACTGTACATCAGGGCCCTACTGCCTAACTTCCATGTAGCTCCCCAAAGGATTTTAATATTTAAAAGGATCTCCTCATGGGGAAAAGGTTGGCAAAATAGCAGTTTAATAGCAGTTCCAGTAGAACTTTTGTGGCAGTAAACATATTGGATAATTCTCAGATGCTTGAAGCCAATATGAAAAACAAACTCTGCTAATGCTGCTGTCACACTGCAGGGAATATGACCAACATGGTTTGACAGAAACGAAAAAACTGTTCAACAATAGAAGGATAATGAAGCTGCAGCGATGTGTCCGTGGTGTTATGGAAGTCCCCCTTGCCCCAAAATAGTAGTGACTCTGTGTTAGAACAACATCATTACGGTTATACACGTGAGAACTCTGCCCTGTGGTGACAGTGATACTATTGGGGGGTATATATGCAGCATTAATTAACAGGCAGAAGATAGTGAGCGAGCTGATTCCACTGCCGCTGAAACATGCTGAAGATTAAAACTGTGCAAATATGTGCTCTATGCAATGATTGGGATTTGTTTTAATGAATGTTTCAGTGGCAGTGAGAGAGGAACGCAAGCTGCGAAATAATAACGGCATGCAAGGAGCATATTTTTTACTTTGGACTTGCTTTCAATTTACAGAAAACAACTTTGCAGATGCAGAATCAGAGCAGTGGAATAAAGTATAATGATTTTGTAAAAAGTAAACCAATGAGAAACACAGCCTTTGACAGGTGGTCTTACAAAAGCCTTATGAAATCATATTATGCTTCAAGTTCAAAGACTTTTGACTTATTTAGTTTGAAACAAATGGCTCTCTTTTGTGCATGGAATCCCAATGTGTCTTTCTGAAGATATTTAAAGTAGTCCCTCCTCTTGGCATAAATCTGACCTGTAAGATTTGCTGGAGAAGAATGGTTTAACCAAAGACAAGGAGCCTCAAGGATCTGAATTAATTTGAACCAATCAGGAGTCTGCAGGGTGGAAAAAAAGTTTAATTCTCACTTCACAACTGACATTTGTTTTGCTGTCAATTGAAATGCTTGTCCCATTGGCGAATCTTGTTTTAAGAAAGTCAAAATGTCAAATTCAGGCTTGACCACGTTATTCAAGCATCTATTGTCCCATAGTTGATTTTTTTCTGGTGTTACTGGGCCTCATTTATGAAACTTGCGTACGCCCAAATCAGAGTGTAAATGAGGCGTATGCGAAAATGTACACTTTTCCCTAACCCCACAGGCACTTCTGAGGCTTCAAACTAGACTTGCTGGCCGACTTCCATGCTGACATGTCGTAAAAACGTGGCGTTTTCTGAGTATTTCTTGGCGTGACTTTCATAAATACGCTAGTTTTATCAACAGCCGCATATGCGTTCGCTCATATCTGTGCGTATCTCACACGTTCATAAATCCCGCGTTCAGTCTAGCGTGAATGGAATATACACCAAAAATATACACCCTTTTCTGCGCAACTTTCATCAATGAGGGCCACTGTGAGCTGTGTCCTCAGTATTAGGCTGGACCAAAGGCATCACAAGGACGACGCAGACAGTATAAATTGTTGGCAGGTTTTGGTGCTACAAAATTAACAGTGCTGTTTTTCCAGCAGAGACACTCCCCACTCAGGGCTTTACTGCCAGGACCTTTATTGTGATCGGCCAAAACGATAAGGCATTTTCCCTTATGAGAGTGGTGTTTGGCTTAAAGGATTACAGCCGGTGTTAAAACCAACGTGGACTCTCAATGTGAAGGGGAAGACACGACGGATTTACTTTTGGCTTGCCTCTAGTTTTAGATAGATTGAATCGTTTTATCGTTTACAGTTTTCAGAATAATTTTCAGTTCGTTTATCTTCTACGATGCCGAATATAAGCCTATATAAAGGGCAGTATAATTTTTCAAAAGACAGATTAGTTTCCGTCTTGAAAACCAAGCATGACACAGCTTTGAATAATCCTTAATGAAAGAAATATGAAGACCGGCATATTTCTATTTCCAATATGTGTGTGATTGAAAAAAAGAAGGATAAACATAAAGACATATTCTGAACACTTGAATATTGTGAAAAATATGACGCCTTTTCTCTTTTTTAAATGTCATTCTAATGTAATCCTAGAGTTTTGTCTTTGACTAATTGTGCATTCATTATGTTTTCTTTCCTGTTCTGAATGTTGAATG